GGGGGGACAGAGGACAGAGAGGACATCAGTTTAAAACATTGAAAACAAAAATTTTATCCTGAATCAAATGTTTAAGTAAAAGTTTATAAAAACTTTAGGATTCATTGAATTTTTTTATTAAATAAAATAAAATTTATTATAAAATAAAAACGGATCCGTTTGACTCTGTGAACAGAACCGCCTCATGTCTTCTGTCTGAGGTTCTGCAGAACCTGCTCCCTGTCAGAACCCGTCAGACGGGAACATAAAGAGGCTCCACCCTTCAGCAGAACTGAACCGGATCCACCCGACCCGGGTCAGGGTTCTGAGAACGGAACAGAACCTTTGGTCCCTTAAATGGATCAGAACCAAAGTTMTTCAAATCAAAACAGAACCATTCAGATAAACCAGGTTCTAAAGGTTCTACAGGTTCTGGTGGACCAGAACCACACTCTGGGTCATCAAGGTTCCAGAACCGTCCTCTTCACAGAACCTGAACCAAACACAAGTCAGGTTTCTGACAGCTTCCAGAACCAGAGAGTGGATCAGAACCAGAACCAGAACCAGAACCAGAACCTGGTGTTTTACTGACAGAAGATTTGATCATTAAAACAGCTTTTATTTCAGCAGCAGGAGGTTCTGCTGGACCGGGTTCTGGACCGGGTTCTGGACCAGGTTCTGTTCATTTTTTAAATAAAATATGTGTAATTTAAATGCTGAACACAGAAGACCAGAACCAGGACCAGATCCACAGGGTCCAGAGGACCAGAACCAGGACCAGATCCACAGGGTCCAGAGGACCAGAACCAGGACCAGATCCACAGGGTCCAGAGGACCAGAACCAGTCCAAAGTTTCTGTAAAAACCAGTATTTGAAATAAAATTCTCATCATGTGGACTGAATAAAACCAGAACCATCTGGACCATCGGAACCGGCTCAGAGTCCAACAGAAACCTGACCCCGCCCCCTTCTCACCTGAAACTATGAAACTTGGTGACGTCACAGCAGGTAACAGGTGCGGGTATCGGACTCACCTGGGTGGGACAGAACTTCTTGACGGAGTCCTGCGCGTTCATGGCGTTGYGGTTCTGCTCGGTTCTGGTGGGTTCCGGTTCTGTTCGGGGGTTCTGAGCTCTTCACAGAACCGATGGTTCCGGTCTCATGGTGGCGGCAGGTGTTCGGCTCTCAGCAGGTTCTAAAGGTTCTGTTAGCAGAGAGGAAAGGTGCAGACAGGAGTCGGTTCTGGTCGCGGCTTTAGACCCGAAGTTCGGTTCGGTGACTGAACGAYACTGAGAGCAGAAAAGTTTTAAGAGGGAGGAGCCAAAAACACACCTGAYACCTGAGCTCCCAGCAGACACCGCGCCTCCGCTGAGCAGAACCTCAACCCGGAAACCAACAGAACCCAGAAGTTCTGGAAGCRGAACCGGATCAGAGGTTCTGACCCACAGATTCTGGTTCGGATTCTGACAGAACTTCTTTTGTCTTTTCTCCTTTAACCGGTTCAGTTAAAGTTCAAAACAATGAAACAGATAATTGAACTGAACCAACCTGTTGACAAGTTAATATTTCAGTTTCACAATAAAAATAATTAAATAATAAAGACGTCATTTTTATTTAATCTGTAATTAAAAAGACTGAGTCATTAGAGT